GACATGAACATTGTGGAGCCCATGGACCCCAGACTGGTGACTGAGAGGCCAGCATGGGACTGATCCAGACCCCTGAACGGGGGTGGGGGGGGGGTTAGTGAGGAGGCCTTGGCAATCTTCGGGGCCTCAAATAGTAGATCAGTATTTATCCCTGGCATACAAATGGACTTTTGGAGCCCATTCCACATGGAGAGTGGTCTCTCATCCTGGACACATAGGGGAGGTCCTAGACCTGCCCAGGATGATATGGCAGACTTTGAAGTTCCCCTATGGAAGGTCTCACTCTCCCTGGGCAACAGAAGGGTAATGTGGGGCAAGGGCTGGTAGGGTGTTGGGGTGGGGGCAGAAGGGGAGGGAGAGGGAGCTGGAATTGACAGGTCAAGCAAGCTTGTTTCTAATTTAAATAAAAAATTGTCAAAAAAAAGAGAATGAGCATGGCAACTCAGGCAAGAGCACTGGTGGAGAACATGAGTACAAGGTCACAGATTTAGCATATTTAAGAGACAAAATCAAGGACATGAGTATGCAGAGATGGGCATGTCAAGAATAAACGGATTTCTGGCTCCTACTGCCTAGTAGGCAGGTCACTATTTTCAAACCAAGATAAAAGAAGGCCATCTATGTGATCATATGTTTGGAGCTTTCCATTGGAGCCTGGTGGCCAACTCATGAGTATACAACTGAAGAAAATGCCTTCCCTCCCCCAAACCCACCAGCAGCCAACAGTTCAGCAGGGAAATGGAGGGGTCTGTCAACAAATCCATGTTTGACTGACAATAGGCCCAGGCTTGCATGAGCTCAGCAAATCACTGTCTCAATACCACTTACTCATTCCTTAGACATTCAAGTGTCTGTTGTTGTCACAGACCACTTATACATGCCATATACAGAGAGGGCTGAAGCAAAGAGGGTCCTGTTTTTGTTGTTTATTAAATTTATTTTAGTTAAAACATTATGCATATCAGTGGGGTACCTAGCCAGGCCTGTAATCTCAGTGTTCACAAAGCTAATACAAGAGGGTGGCAGACTCCACACCTTCCTGGCCTACAGCATTCAAGACCAGCCTGAGTAACTTAGTACTACTTAGGAGCTATATTTTACTCTTAAAAAGGGATATTAAAAGTGATCTTTCTATTTATGAAATCTGCTTGTACACAGATATGACTAACAGTAAATTTCTAATAATTAAACATTATGAGCAATTAAGATTTCTAATTAAATAAAAATGCATGTCTGTTGCTTCCTTCGATTACTGACTTGTCCTCTTCAGGCCAGTCAAAGATGAGGTTAAACATAAATATAAGTATATAAAATTCCTAAGCAGGCACACTCTTACAAGCCTGGCATTTGGGTTACAGGAGCAGGATGATAATAAGTTTGAGGCTAGCCTCTCATAAATCAATCAAAAGTTAAAATAGAATATCCTTTACTAGGTAAGAGTCAGCAATGAATAAAAACAGCAAATACTCTCATTTGGAAATAAATGTACAACTGTTAATTGACAGTTGCCACTTAACATGCTTGGATATGTGTGTGTGTGTGTGTGTGTGTGTGTGTGTAAAAGAGAGGGGGGAGTGAGTGGGTGTGAGTGTGTGAATGAGTATGTTAGTTGGGGAGTGAGTGTGTATTGTGTGTGAGAGTTGGTGTGAGTGTGTGAATGAGTATGTATGCATTGTGAGAGTGAGTATGTATATGTGTGTTTTAATTACTCAAGGTTTGTCACATTTTCTTCTACTGAATGAGAACTCATGCAATAATTGTGAGGAAATCTATAGGAATTCTAGGGTCATTCTACTTCACCAGAAGTAACTGCTCACACAGCATCAGCTGCATATTCTCCCTAGTTCTGAATCTAGGCAATGGCCAACCAACCAGAGGGAACTGACGCATGGCACTCACATCCTGATCCTAAAACTAAACAATAAAGAAAAAGGGACAAAAATATTAGTCCTTTAAGCAGTGGTTCTCATCTCTTTTCCTAAGAGCTGTTTCAAAAACTCTATGATGTGCAGGGTCTTAGCCCAACCACAGAAGGCTGAGCTGGGTCTGAGGAAGAGTAAGTGTGCTGCTCACCCAGTCCCCAGCCTCCCAGATTCCCAGAGACAGTCAGACACAGCAAGGAGTCTAGTCAAGCAGGAACTCCTTTATTGTCCCACAGCAAACATCTTTTCAAGCAAAAAACCTCAGAGCAGGAAAAAACAGCCAGCCAGTGGTTTCAAAGGTCAGCCTATCACATGCCTAGGCACCCTAGGCTTTGCCTAGTGAACACTAGCTGTTCATGCAGCGACCTCATCTGGTTTGATCTAGGCAACCAATCATCTTTTTTTGTAAACAAGTCAGGACTCACCCATCTGACTTCCCCTCAGCACCATCTCTGACTGGCTCATGTGCCCAACAATGAGATTACAGAAAGAGCCCAAAATGAGTGATGGTGTGGCTGTCATGAAACAGCAGTCCATAACCACTTTGGAGGAGGGCAAATCAGACATCTGTTCTGAGTGGCCAACAAAACTGTGTTGTTGATTTTTCTTTTCATTTGTTGGCCAGAGTGTCAGTCAGAAGATCCTGTTTTCAAATCAATGACGTCATATCTAGACACTTTCTTATTCCATGAATGTTCAGAAATGTGTGGCAAAAGTTCCCTGGCGATTAAAGTAGATGATACATAAGAAGTAAAACAATAACAAAAAATATAAAACCCAATGTGATACAAAGCCAGTTAGCTCTGTCAGATGTTTCAATAACAAAGAAATCCCTGCAAATCAAACACAACAGCCTGTTAGTTTCCCAATAACTTCAGTAATGAGTTATTTGGTGTGGAAGCACTTCAGGTCTTGGCTCCTGACAGTTTTATAGACCATAGTAAAGCCTTTCAGCAGTTTTTGGGGCAGGCGTGACTAGCAACTAGATTATACAGACTGAGTACATGATATTTACTCTTCAGAGAGAGCCAGTAAACCATCTGACCAATTAGGCCTCAGATTCTTTGGGTCTCATGAAAGCTAAGAAAGACTGCATGTAAAAGCCTCAGAACACATTCAGACTGGAGTTTCTTTCAATGTGTCTTTCATACAAGTCCTGTGAAAGACTGCCAATGACCAGGAGTCTTCATCACAGACACAAACAAAAGCCCTGCATGCCTATGAGCAGCAAGTACAGCTGTGTGGTTTATGAAGACCCACACATTGGCAACCCATCAAACACCCTTTGAAGACAGAGGCAGAATTGTACAAAAAGCCTTCTAAATTCCCAACCCTCCCTGTCACTTAGCCTGTCATTCAAGTTCATCAACAATCAATATCTCAACTTTTTAAAGCACTATTTCCTCAAATGAACCTCTAATCTAGTTAACTGGTCCCTGCCTCTCTGTTTCTTCTCAAACCACTTCATATAGAAGGTCATCATTCTGCATTCCACCTCTCCTTTCCCATCCTAGACCCCAGACCACCATCTAACGCCCATTCAAATACTTCCTCTCCACCAACAACTCTGGACCACACTCATGTCTCCTTTCTCTGACTTCTTAGGGTTAATTGCATTTATACTCACTTGATGCTAATGATGATACATAACCACTGTTAGATCCTCACCTAACTTCCCTTATATGTGTCTTCCCTCGCGCATAATTGATAACCACTAATTAGCCACTTTGATTTTATATTGCAAACTGAACAGATCTATCCATATGCACGTGTTGCCCCTCAATTTCTCATGCCAGAATTATCTTTCTTATATTTCAGCTAGGTTCAGAGCCATTGCCTCTCCTTCCACCTATGCCACCTGTGTCACCAGAGCTTATGAATTCTGTCATTATTGTATCTGTTGCAACCACCCACCTTTTCCGTTCCCACTGCCAGCATCCTTGTTTAGACATTGGTTTCCTTGCCTGGACTGTTTCAAAACTCTCCCACTGGCCTTCCTGACACTAGTTTCCCCACCTCCAATCCAATCCAAACACCCAGCTAGATTAATCTTCCTAATGCAACTCTGACTCACATTACTTCTCAAAGTAAACACCCTCCATGCTATCCCATAGAGTATCAAATAAAGTATAAATTGTGCATTCTGAAATAAACTAGGCCCGAGGTAGTGAGTGCTGTGGTATGTCACCCATCCTCCTCCCCCTCACATCGGAATATTTATTCCCCTGGATGTCAGCAATTCTGTCTACTGACAGGTCACAGTCGAACCCCTTTCCAGAAATTTCCTTTGGCAACAGGAGCTATTTGTCTCAAGTTCTATCCCCTCCCAGAAGGCAGCCCACATGCAATGCTGGCTGTGAGGGTACAAAGGCTAAGATCCCTTGCCCCAATCTAGAATAACTTTGTAGTGCTCTGCCAGCTTCACACAGGACCAGTTGAAGGTCACTTTCCAACTTGATTTTTGCTAAGCTTTTCCTTTACCCTATCCTGTTTCCTTCATTCTTTCAGTTATTAACCCCAAGGGAATTCCCCAATAAAAACCCTTCCCTGGAATCTTCATCTCAGAATCTGTGTTCAGAAGCTACAATGTAAGACAATCAAAACACTTTCTACATAGAATTCATTTTTCATGTAGCCTACAATCCAGTCAAACTGGATGACCTTAATGATATTCACATACCACCCCTAATTTATTCACTTAAAATAATCTTTCTGGTTGTCTAACAAGTTACAGAATTTTTAAAATATTTGTCTAACAGGATATAAAAGAATAAGTGGCCAGTCGAATACAATATGAGCAGTTTCTGTGGTTCAAATGTGATTTCAGTGTCTGCTAAAGATTTCTGCATTAGACCAGGCGTTGGTGGCATACGCCATTAATCCCAGCACTAGGGAGGCAGAAGGCAGGTGGATCTCTGAGAGTTCAAGGCCAGACTGGGCTATAGAGTGAGTTCCAGGATAGCCTCTAAAACAACACAGAGAAACCCTGTCTCGAAAAAAATATTTCTGCATTAGAAGCTGTTTTCCTAAACTGACAGCATAAAGTAGTGGAAACTGTAGGGGTGGGGCTTAATTCGGGGTGAATAAGTCACTAGAGATAGAGATCAATACGTTTCTTATGGGGTCCAAGTCAGTCCACACAGAGCAGGTCATTATTTTTAATAGACTGGTCCCTTCCCAATCTCTACTCTTGTATTTCTGTGTGATATGCCCTTCTCATGTTGTGTCAAAGACAAGGCAGGACTTCATCATAAGCTGACATGACAGAGTCACGTTGTCTTGAATTTTCAGTCTCCAAAACTGTGAAGTTAAATACAATAAATAAATTTAGTCTTTATTTATTTATTTATTTTTGGTTTTTCGAGAGAGGGTTTCTCTGTGGCTTTGGAGGCTATCCTGGAACTCGCTCTGTAGACCAGGCTGGTCTTGAACTCACAAAGATCCACCTGCCTCTGCCTCCCAAGTGCTGGGATTAAAGGCGTGCGCCACCAACGCCCGGCTAAATTTAGTCTTTATAAGCACTAACTGTAGGTGTTTTGTCACTGCAACATAAAATGAGCTGATACAGCACAGATTTCCTAGCTGAGATCATAGGACAAACCTAGAAAAATATTCTAGACAGGGAAAAACATGACCAGAGTTCTGGAAATATGAAAACTTATCTATAAGAAAATTCCAGAATGACTGAAGGTCAAGGGGCTTGAGAAATGGTAACAGAACAAGAGGTGTGAGAAATCATCAGGGCCAGAACAAGAAAGGTAAGCAAGCTTACAAAGGGACATTTAGAGCAAGGGAAATGTCACATGGCTTACAGGAAAATGATATTTGTAATTTTAGGAAAAAACATTTAGGTATTGTACAGAGGAAAAAAATAACTGAAGTCTGAAAGGAGTTGGCTACTGCAGTCATCCAAGCAAAATGTAATAGCAACTTACCTAAGGAGAACCATTTACTCTATGACGGCTTATGAAAAGGAAGAAATCAACATCACTCCAGGTTACTGATATCTTTCTGGAAAATTGAGTACTATTCCCAAGGGCAAATCTGAGAAAGACAGAAACATAGGAAGAAAGATAACATTTCAATTATAGCTGCATGTGATAAACTAGTGAAGAGTTGGGAATGACAATGAAAATGAAGACACAGCATACCCACTCTATGGGACACTATGAAAGCAGTGCTGAGAGGGAAGCTCAGAGAGATGACAGCAGCTTTCAGCAGTGGTTTCCAGAAGCTATTGAAGAAGTTCCTCTTGGAAGGAACACCTGCATCCCAGCCAGCATCCACTGACATTTCTGGGTAAGAGATAATCCCCTGCTGCAGCGACCATCAGAACTCCAGCCCCATATTTACCAGAGGAGTGATTACCAGAACTGTGACCCAGCCTCCACCTGAAGGAGCAATCACCAGAGCTGTGGTCCCACCTGCACCTCCAGGAGCAAACACCTGAGCCTTGAACAGCCTCTACCTGGAGGAGCAATCACACCACTGGAGCCACAGTTCCCAACTATACCAATTGGAGGAAGTGGGACACCCTGAAGCAGGTGTTTCACACAACTGATTAGATGAAGAGATGCATAGACAACAAGGTAAGAACACACTCAAGAACACAAAGAGCAATACAGCACCACCAGAAACTAATGGTGTTACAACAGCAAGGCCTAAACATCCCAACACAGATGAAACAGATGGGAATGACCTTAAAATAATTTTATGAAGATGTTTGAGATCCATAAAGAGGAAGCGAAGAATTCCCTTAAGGAACTGAGGGAAAAGTCAAACAAAAACTTGGGGAAAACTAACCCAAGGATGTAAATTACATCACAAAAACACAGGAAATAGACGATCTCACAGCAACAAATCTCAAAGATGGAAAATGCATACAGAGTGCCACCATCAACAACAAAAATAAAATGAACTAGAAATCAGTGGACATTAATATTTTTTAATATAAATGAAATCAATTAACCTATTAAAAGACACAGGTTAACAAAATGGATATGAAAACAGAATCCATCCTCCTACTTCATGAAAGAAGCACATTTGAACCTCAAAGACAGATATTATCTCATGGGAAAGGGTTGAGAAAAATTTTCCCAGTACCTATCCTAATATCTAACAAAACAGACTTCAAACCAAAGTCAATCAAACGAGATAAAGAAGGTCATTTCATATTCATCACAGGAAAAATCCAGCAAGAGGAAATCTCAATTCTGAACATCTACGCCTCAAACACAAGGGCTCATGCATTTGTAAAAGAAACATTACTAAAGCTCAAATCATACATTAAGCCCCACACACTAATTGTGGGACACTTTAATACCCCACTCTCACCAACACAGACAGATATCAGACAGAAGCTAAACAGAGAAATAAGGGAACTAACAGACATTGTGACTCAAATGGATTTAATAGACATCCATTGAACATTGCACTCAAACACCAAAGAATATAACTTCTTCTCAACACATCATGGAACCTTCTTAAAAATTCAGTAATAAAGAAATCCTCAACAGATACAAAAAATGGGAATAACCCAATGTATCTTATCAGATCAGCATAGCATTAAGTTAGAATTCAACAAAACAACAACATTAATTTCAGAAAGTCCACAAACACATGGAAATAGAACAATGCTCAACTGAATCATCAGTGGGTCAATGAAGAAATAAAGAAAAGAATAAGGAATTCCTAAAATTCAATGAAAATGAAGGCAAAACATACCCAAACTTATGGGACACAATGAAAGCAGTGCTAAGAGGAAATGCCATAGCACTAAATGTCCACATAAAGAAGCTAGAGAAATCCCACATGAATGAATTAACAGAACAAAAAGAAGCAAACTTAGCCAGGAGGAGTAGATGGTTTGAAAATTCATCCATTGAACATTGTACTCAAACACCAAAGAATATAACTTCTTCTCAACATAAAATATCTTGGGGTAACTCAACCAAGCAAGAGAAAGACCTGTATGACAAGAACTTTAAGTCACTGAAGAACACAATTGAAGATGATATCAGAAAATGCAAGATCTTCCATGATCATGGATGGGTAGGATTAACATAATAAAAATGGTATTCCTACCAAAAGCAATCTACAGATTCAATGCATTACCCATCAAAATCCCAGCATAATTTTACAAACCTTGAAAGAACAATACTAAATTTCATATGGCAAAACAAACAAACAAAAAAAAACCAGGATAGCCAAAAAACCCTGTGCAATAAGGAACATCTGGAGGCATCGCCAACCCTGACTTTAAGCTCTACTATAGTGCTATAGTAATGAAAACAGATTGGTATTGCCATAAAAACAGAAAGGTGGACCAATGGAATCAAATCAAAGACCCTGATATTAACCCACAGACTTATGAACACCTGATTTTTGAGAAAAAATCTAAAAATATAAAATGGAAAATAAGAAACCATCTTCAACAAATGTCACTGGCATAACTGGATGCTGACATGTAGAACAATCCAAATAGATGAGTATCTACACCTATGCATGAAACTCAAGTCCAAATAGATCAAACACCTCAACATAAATCCAACCACATTGAACTGTATCATAGAGAAAGTAGAAGTACCCTTGAACACATTTGGTACAGAAAACCACTTCCTGAATATAACACCAATAGCACAGGCACTGAGAGCAAACAATTAATAAATGGGACCTCCTGAAACTGAGAAGCTTCTGTAAAGCAAAGGACATGGACAGCAAGACAAAGTAGCAGCCTACAGAATGGGAAAACATTTTCACTGAGGAAAGATATCAGCCCTTCCAGGCCCCAAACTCCAGCGAGCCCAGCTTTGGGAGAGCTTGGGTCTCCAGCGGGGACACTCCCAATCCCCTGCCCAACATCCATCCCCTTGATCTTCCAGGGCAGCTCCAAGCATCCAGAAGACCCGCCTACACAGGAAAGACATCAGCCCTTCCAGGGCCCCACCTCCGGCAACCCCAGCTTCAGCTTAAGCTTCAGTGTCAGCATCCCCAGCTTCAGCTTCAGGAAGGAAGGAGACAAGTGGAGACGGAAAGACCCCACCAGCACCCACTGGAAGAAGAGATGGGAAGAAGACGGAATAAGAGCTCACTCAGCAATAGAAAGACCAACATGACTCTACCAGAATCTAGGGAACTAACGCCAGCAAGACCTGAAAAGCAGTACATAGATGAAGCAGAGGAGAAAGACCTTAAAAATTATTTTATGAAGATGATAGAGACCCTCAAAGAAGAAATGAGGAAATCCCTTAAAGAAATAGAAGAACAAACAAACAAAAAATCCATGAAATGGGGGGGAAAATTTAAGAAATAAACAAATCTCTCAAAGAATCTAAAGAGCACCAAGAAAAAACAACCAAACAAATTAAGGAAACAACTCAAACAGTTGAAGGATTGAAAGCTGAAATAGAAACGATAAAGAAAACGCAGAATGAGGGGATGCTGGAAATAGAAAAGCTGGGTAAAGGATCAGGAACTACAGATGCAAGTATCACCAATAGAATACAAGAGATACAAGAGATAATCTCAGGTGTTGAAGACTCGTTAGAGGATATAGGGTCATCAACCAAAGAAAATCTCAAAACCAACAAATCCCTAACACAAACATCCAGGAAATATGGGACACCGTGAAGAAGCCAAACCTGAGAATAATAGGTATAGAAGAAGGCGAAGAAATACAACTCAAAGGTACAGAAAACTTACTCAACAAAATAATATACGAAAACCTCCCTAACCTAAAGAAGGATATGCCTATGAAAATACAAGAATCTTACAGAACAACAAATAGGCTGGACCAAAAAAAAGAAGTCACCTCGCCATATAATAATCAAAACATCAAACCTACACAATAATGAAAAAATATTAAGAGCAGCTAAAGAAAAAGGCCAAGTAACATATAAAGGCAGACCTATCCGAATTACAACTATCTTCTCAATGGAAACAATGAAAGCCAGAAGATCCTGGATAGATGTCCTACAAACGCGAAGGGAACAAGGATGCAAGCCCAGACTACTATATCCAGCAAAGCTTTCAATTACCATAGATGGAGAAAACAAAATATTCCATGACAAATCCAGATTTAAACAATACGTATCCATGAATCCAGCTCTACAGAAAGTGCTAGAAGGAAAACCTAGATCCAAGGAAGATAACTACACTTACAAACACACAGGCAATATATAATCCCACTAAACAAAACACCAAAAGAAAAAGGAAGGAGAAACTACACAAAATAACTTCACTAACAATAAATCAAGCACAAACAAGAATCACCAATCAATGGTCATTAATATCCCTCACAATGGCAGAAACCCTACAAACTCATGGAAATTTAACAATGCACAATTGCACCATCCCTGGGTAAAAGAATAAATAAAAAAAGAAATTAAAGACTTCCTGGAATTCAATGAGAATGAAGACACAATATACCCAAACTTATGGGACACTCTGAAAGCAGTGCTGAGAGGGAAGTTCATAGCACTAAGTGCCCACATGAAACTAGAGAACAGTCATACTAGAGAATTAATAGCACAGCTGAATATTCTAGAACAAAAAGAAGTAAACTCACCCAGGAGGAGCAGACGCTTAGAAATAATCAAATTGAGGCCTGAAATCAATCAAGTAGAAACCAGGAAAACATTGAGAAGAATCAATGAAACAAAGAGTTGGTTCTTTGAGAAAATCAACAAAATAGACAAACCTCTGTCCAAACTAAACAAAAGACAGAGAGAGACAGCATGCTAATTAACAAAATGAGAAATGAAAAAGGGGACATAACAACAGACTCTGAGGAAATCCAGAGAATCATCGGGGCAGACTTTGAAAATTTGTACTCCACAAAATTCAAAAATTTGAAGGAAATGGACAATTTCCTGGATAGATATCACTTGCCAAAACTAAATCAAGAACAGATAAACAATCCAAACAGACCTATAACCCCTAATGAAATAGAAGCAGTCATCAAAAGACTCCCAAACAAAAAAAGCCCCGGCCCAGATGGCTTCAGTGCAGAATTCTACCAGAAATTCAAAGAAGAGCTAATTCCA